GGTCACTAAGTGTAGGGCCCATGTAAACAGTGAAGTTGAAATGGATGGTATTGACAGGGACAGCCATTCAGACAGAGACTTAAGGTGGATAAGTTATTTGTACTGCAGAAAATAAAGAGAAAGGGCTGTTATGAATTAAACTGTTTGTTCTTTGCTCACCTAATGAATCAAAGTCTCATCTGATGCACCAGAGGAAAACTTTAAAAACTGTGTTTCAAGTACCAATCCATGGACCAGGAGTTGAACCCCTACCTTGTACTTACTTTGATCATTCTAAAAGATGTAAAATAATTTGTTTGTGGATATGGCTGACAAGAGAATTTTTTTAAGTTTTAGTTCTCGCTCGAGTGTCACTGAGAGCTTTTACATGATGCCAGCATGGTTTACAATCCCAGCAGAGCCTCATGACCTCTTTGGACTGCTCCTCCAGTTATAATGTTTCACTGGTACTTTGACAAGTATTAAATAGCAGACATAAACAATTACTCCTTCCTATCTGCCTCTATCTCACTTTGGCAAATGTACACGGCACAGATTTATTTATATCCAATAAAAACGATTCTCCTTCTTTTTTTTTTTTTTTTTTTGAACTCTAAAAATAAATCTGTGACATGAAAATGCTTTATCGAAAAAGTCCATGAAAACTTTACTTTCAAGTGATAAGTTGTTCTCAAAGGACACTGATATAAAAGAACATATGGTGAGCTTATAGAAAACGCTGCATTGCGGCGGAATCATCAACCTGGCAATAAATAAAGTAGTTAACTTTAGCTTACTTTAAAACAACTGAACCAGTATAATACGAGCATACACATAAATGCTCGGTCCCAAAATACCATTTAATATAAAAAAGCATTGTCAGGGACCATTCATCCTCCACAGCGAGTACTTTTACCCAAGTTTCTTTTATTTGCATCATACCTACACTTTGCTCTTTGTTCCAGTAACTTTAGGTTTTGAGTTTAGTTAATGCCGTTTCACTGTTTTTACCTCAGAGAAGCATCACAATGCACCTCCAACCTTGGACAAAACTGCCATTATTCCGCTAGTAGAATGAGGTATGAGAGAGCACAGGAAAACATTGATAATTAAAGATGATTTTTGTAAAATTAAAGGCACAATTACAAAAGTCGGCCCTGAAAATTTAATAGTTTGTGACAAATGTTCAAATTACGAGGAACAAAAATCAAATAAAAAGAATACTATGAACAACAGTGATCCTTTGAAAGAGTCCTGAAAATCACAGTGAGTTTGAAAATCAGCACAAAGGTTTCTGCTCATCTGAAGAACAGACGGCACTGGTCTTGATTTTTGTATTTCTCAATCTGGATTTCAATCAATTTGACATTTGATGATTAATGTTGTTTTGCCTACATGTTGATGAAAACAATAGATGTGTCATCCTGTCAGGATGCATCCTGTTATTGGGGCTGGCAGACAGAAAAACAAGAGAAAACAAGGATAAAAAAAGGACCAATTCCAGTTTTTTTTTGTTTTTTTTTCATTCTATGTTAATGAAATGGGGTTTACACATATAACATGACCATTTCAAAGAACATAACAAGATTTAATGTGAAAGTTACAGCCTCCCCCCATCTCGCAGGTTTTATCGTACCTGCACAGAATCCAAATATCCGGCTGCTTTTCTACTGTTAATGTACAAAGCTGGGGTCTTTAGAGAGAGCATGTGTCCCATTATCACAGAGGGAGGGAGGTTTGCAAATTTGCAGGCGCTCAAATCTTAAGCAGCATTATAAAAAATGCAGAATAAGCACAAGAAGAAGAAAGTATGTAAAGTATTTGAAAAACTGAATAATTACTTTTGAGATTGAGTGAGCAGCACCTGGGGCATGCAGAAATCCTCTGCATCCAATTAAAAGAAAACTATCTAAATAGTCTCATGGCATTGAATTTATTCATAAAGGCCATCCATTTAGGAGTCAACTTTTAAAATAAATCTCTGTGCGCAATTTACATGAAATTTAAATAATTTCTGGAGTTTAACAAGTAAACTAAATGACTCAACCAAAACTCCTTAAAGTCTTCACAGCGATGTACATGTACAGCACTGTACGAAGACACAGGTGGAGTTATAACAACCTCCAGCAGAACAGTCTTTGGATCAGAACTTTTCAGGCTGACAGATGAGGTACGTCTCTCTTCTCGGAGGAAGAGGATAACCCTGCTCGACCTCCAGGAACATCAGTTTGTAGAACATTGTGTTAGAAATCCTCCTGGGATCCGAGTCTGGAGATCTGGAGCTAATAGGTACAGATATCCATTTTCTTCCCTGCCTACGTCTTCTTCCTCAGTCCCCTGCACTGCAAAAAATGCCTCTATCAAGTTTACTTGCACAAGAAAGTGGAAGCTCCTGACCAGAATGAGTTTAATACATTCAGCTGGCAATGAATAATACTCAAACTACTGCAGCCAGAAACACAGCAGGAGTGTGCTGATGGGATTGGAAAATGTGCAAAAATATGGTGGTGGATAAAAATATTTTTATTCAACAGCTGCATTTGGCGTATCTGAAATACTCAAAGAGTTATGAGACTTTTTTGGTCCTTCCATTGCCACTTTGTAACCTTCAAAAAGTAACAGGACCATCAGCTAGAAGACTGGGAAAGGTCAAGTAGGTTTTGTTATTTTTACGTCTGTATTTGGTCCTACTTCTTACACAAGGCCCCACCAAGAGTTTGCAACAGGCTGTATGTAAGACAAGTGTTAGGAAGCATAAGGAGAAGGTTGCATTGAGAATTACTCTGTCAACTGCACACACAGTATTTTTGTAGTTATGGCTAGCTGTAGGATCAGATCGATCAGCAGTGACTGGAGTGGAGACTAAAGAAGGTTCAAAGAAAGGAGACAAAGCACAAACACCAGACACCGTGTTGTTCATTCAACAGATGGAAAGAACTGGACTCAGAAGGAATCACTGGTTTCTCCTCCTCTTTCTTGACAAGTTTGTCCTCAATCTTCCCATTATGACTTACTATATATATATATATATATATATATATATATATATATATACATATATATATATGCATTCACTGCTCAGTCAGTCAATATGTTTACATGTTGTTCTAAAAAGTTGATTTATTGCCTCAGTCTGACTGAAACTAGACTTTTAAAAACATGTAAATGAGTTTGTCAGACAGAAATCACATTACTAACATACTAGGATAATGTGATTGGGGATCGATTTTCTCTCCCATGTTTACGGCTCAATTGGACTGAAACTGGCCTAAGTGCTCTGTATATACGTCAGGGTTTGCATGTCAGATGTTGAGCCTGGAGTTGAAGAGCACGAATGGGTCAACAACCCTCTGAAGCAAAAAAAAAAAAGAGGTAAAAAAGACCAAAATTTCCTATCGACCAATAAGAGGTATGGAGCTGTAAAAGTGACAGTGTTTGCATTTTTCATTGTACATCCAGTTGGTCTCTTGTTAACTCCTTTTGGTTGACCAATCTTACGTAATGGTTCAACCGGGAGACGACCTGATAGTAGTGATCTGAAAGGGGGCATGTCGCCACTGATGACAGCAGAGGCAAATGTGCGTCTGTCATCATTTGGATTTCTTGTCCAGTGCTTGAAGTCCAGTCAAATTACCTAATTAAGCTTTGACAGGAGATTGACTTAACTGTCCATGTAAAAAGTACTAAATAAAATTCTAGGGGCCTTTAATCTCTGTAAAAAAAGTACAACATAAGTTAGTTTGTTTAGTATAAATAATATTTTGAATATGGTTTTTATACAAATATTATAGATTTTGAGGTGCATTACTTCAGTAAGTAAATATCCCACTTTATAATTTGATTCTGGAATTTAAAGATTTGATTATTTGACAATGTGAAAGTACCTAAAGAAGCTCCTTTACTGCCCACTTGAGGCTTGCTCCTAAAGTCATGGAAATTAACACCAAATTTTAAAGCGCCAACTTTTCCAGTGAAAATTAAACCACTTGATGCAAAAAAAGGCAAAATACAAGTGCTGAAAAGGACTTTCAATGTGAGTAACTTGTGTAACTCACCTAAATTATACACATATTTGCATAATCAGGGACACTTATGACGAGGGGGGTGCTTCTTTACTTCTCGTTGGTAAAATTAATTTAGAGTCAAACACACCGTAACACCAAGAGATTAATATTGCCGACCGCTTGCTTCTCTAGTTATACCAACTTAAGTAAAAAACGCAGGATAGCAATACACAGCGGTCTGAGGAGCCATAGACAAACCTCAAACAAAACGCCACTCTATAACCACAAATAATGCTCAGAACAGCACCTAACTAACATCAACAGTACATATAGGGTCCCAGCCACAGCACTAGCCACAAAACATCCTTTAAACACAACTCACCTACTCTCTTCCAGCAGCCACTTGTTTGTAGCGAGACCTCGGGCCAGTCTATTACGGACTGCCGTGGGGTGACGCAGCTCAAGGAAGAACATTTGTGTTTAAACATTTTATAGGAGTTTATACTTGAATTGAATCTTTGTTTTTCCTCTTTTTTGCCTTGGCTGCTGTAAACAGACATTTAAATGTTTTGTTCTTGATAAATTCTATTTTATTAATGCTTGAATTAATTTCAACAACAGGCTTTTACCACTTATTTCTGTAGAAATTTCTGACTTAACCAGCATCTCTCAGAGTTAAACTATTTTCACACCCTGTAGTCGTTTTGGGCTTTAAAAATAGTTCTTGCAAGCTCGTTTTCTTCAAGATTTATGGCCATACTTTCGTTTATTTATAGAAGTGGAGGGACCTGTTTTTTTTAAGCACTTTCCAAAAATCCTAGCCAGAATGAGAGACTAGTAGGTGGATATTTTTTGCAGCGTGCATCACCTCCGACAGAAGAAGACATAGATGAGAACAGGCTTCTGGGAAATGACTGACGGCTGCTCCCAGCCAACCAGAGCAGGGATGCTGCGAGCACCTCGCCTGCTTCTCTTACGCTATTGGCTGTTCTCTGGAGAGTCCGGGTTTGTTCTGATATTAATGACTGCTGAGGAGACGGCGGAGCATCTATGTGGTCCGCCTGACACTTGATCGAGGGGAGAGATGCGCCCTCAGCAGCCGCTGTGAGGACGGGAAGGGAAGGGCACAAGGAACACATGAATCTCAATCCAGACTCCAGTCTACCTGCGTTTGGACTTTCTTCGCTTCGTTTTGCTCGTGCAGAAGCCGTTGGCGGAGGAGAGACTCGAACTGATTTCTGACCAGCTGCGTAAGAAGAAGAAGAAGAAGACCACACATTGTTGACGGGTTTTATGTCGCGCTCTGGGCTTTTCTCATCTCTGGAGCGCCGCACTTGATGGAAATATAGAAAAACACATTCAGCTCCGAGGGCTGTGCTGGTTCAAGCGGGTAAGTTTACTCTGTTTACCACTGAAATACAGTCAATGCCTGTCATTAGGAATGATCGCACGGGTGTGTAATGCGTTTTCCAAGTTGACGAAAAACGCCTTAATCCTGCGCTTCGGGGGATGTTTTAGCAGACGATTATTCATGAGAAAATAGTCCTCCCGCTCCCCCAAAAACCAGTCACTTAAATGTGATTTGAGGAATTACAGAAACAAGGCAGGGTAGTCTAACTATGCTTTCTTTAATTATGGCCTGGAACACTCACTAAACGTGGAGACGCGCTTTTGCGCAACTATGCAGGTTGCGCCTTCACCAAACCCGCTTCATGGCAGATTGGGTGTTTTTGTTAAAACACAAATAGTTAAGGAGATTCAAAGCTGATGTCTGTGTGTGTGTTTGTGTATGGAGGTGATGGACAGGCAATTTCATGTCCCCGGGTTCTGCTCAGTGCGCGCACACCAGACACGTCTCGAAGAAATCCACAGAATGGTGGCCACCCCCTCCTCTCCTCTCCTCCTCACTCTCTCCTCTCCTCTCCTCTACTCCAAGCGTTCCTGTTGCAAACATTAAACGACATCTGCTTAAAGTATACATCACACAATCACACACACTCTCAAACGGTGAATGGGAATGATACCTCGCTTTCATCGACATCTCGGCACGTTGCATGCTGGGCTTTTGCGGAATTAACTCCACCACAGAGTGGCATCTTTGAGCGGATTCACCGTCAACGCTTCACCTGCTGGTGCCCAGCACACCCACCCACACATTCAGAGATCCGGCGAGAGAGAGAGAGAGAGAGAGAGAGAGAGAGAGAGAGAGAGAGAGAGAGAGAGAGAGAGAGAGAGAGAGGAAAGGAAGGTATTCACTAATCCCTTAACTGCATTGGGGCGTCTCTCTCTCTCTCTCTCTCTCTCTTTCTCTCTTACCCCCTCCCTCCCTTCTATTTCATCCCTCACCCTCTCTCCTCTGTCCAGAATCTATGTCACCCAGCAGATGTATCACTCATGAATATTTCAAAGGCAGATAAACAGATAATGGCCGATAATGACAAATGTAATTTTCACCGAAGGGGCTGCTGGATGTGATTGCTGTAATCTTCAGTGCATGCAGCCGGGTCTGGCGTATATGTGTGTGTGTGTGTCCCTGTGCTTGTTCCCAGTGATGGATACAATAGAGTTTGGCCTCTACAGTGCGAATGAGTCACCCCAAAGCAGCTGCTCAATATGAAACACACAGTCAAATACCACATGAGAGCCACCGTGGCTTTGTGTCAGACACAGTGCTGCACTGAGAAAGCCCTCAGCCCACATGCTTCATATTATTCTGTTTGGAATTACTTGCCTACCTGCTGAGGTGTCCAAGGCCATCAGTATAAGTCAGATTCTCAAAGCTCAGCTCTTTTATTTTTTTTTTTGCGAGAAATACTAGAAAGCAGTTATTTACAAAGGTTTCCCCCTTTACCATCAAGTTGTGATTGCACACGCAGCAACATAGCCGCTCTGTCTCCACGGTGACGAAAACAGCCAAACAAAGCAGTAGTGTTTCTATATTAATTTGTCACATTTGTTGAAAATAAATCAATACAACATGTCCACACTAAGTTATTCGCTTAAACTGAATGGTTTGGGGAATTGCCTATTGATCTGCGTGTGAAACAGTGAGAGTCAGAGTGTGTGCGTGTGTGTGTGTGCATGTGGAAAAAGGGGATGGAAAAAGTATTGTGCCCGCAGTGGCCTTGTGGAGGCTCGGAGAGTATGATAGGCAGCACGGTGTGGGTGTTCCATATTAATTTCTCTATAGGCAAAGGGCGGCAGGTGCCTGTGAGGTGAGAGGATGTGTGGGTGCCGTACCTGAAGAGAAAATTAAAACCCTGCGATCAGAATCAAATTCATGTGAAGATTCTGTGTCATAACGGTGGTAACAAGAAGCCTCAGGATCTATCGGCGCTCCTGAGTGAAATGCATGTAAACATATTCACAAGACGGCTGCAGGGGATCAGCCTGTGCAGCCAAGCATAGGCTCTGTGATAGCAGCGTGTTCCCAAACAAACACAGGCACCCATTAAAATGGAATAAGCACAGACAGGGTAAAAAAAAAAAAAAAAGAGGGAGAGGAAAAGGATGATGTGTGCTTTGTCTTAGATCTGGTTGATGAATCGGAAAAGGCCTAACTCGTATGAATACACAAGACGCTTAAAACAAAAAAAAAGAGAGGATCAAAACGTGGATGATGGCAGCATTCATGACATTTTCAGCCTGTATCAAAGGTCAGAATGGGATACTGCACTTCCTTTGTGTCCAATGACATTTACTTTTACATTAGCGCTTTAGCTATTTAGCCATCGTATGCTTTAAATAGTGTGTGGGTGCAACGCTTTTTTAAAGCGCTGGCAACACACTGCTTTAACAAAAGGCTTAATAAAAATGATTACGTTCACATTGATAAATATCAGGTAGATTTTGAAGTTGACGAAAAATAATCAAAGATTTTAACCTCTAATTAGCGTGTTTTTATGCAGATTCGTATCAGAGCTGGACATGATAGGGACATATGCCGATATTGCAGTTTCAAACAGGAGGAGAGAAGAAGGAGGACATCTGAGGGCTACTGCTGGGCCATCCATCTGTTCTACATTTGGATTGATACATATAGGCTATCAGTGCACTAATGAAAAGCCTAGTGGATGCTTTATAAGACTGAAGCAAGTGTAAAATATCAATTCTGATGGAGCTGTGGATGCATGTATGTGCAGGAATATGCAAACAAATGCACGTACACAGGAGCAATTACTGCCTCCGAATCACACAGCCATCGCTCTGCAAAGAAAACAAACGGCCATTTGAAAGTGTCGTATCTTTGATCTGTTTTAGCTGAAGAGGAGTAGCAGAGAATAAAAACAGAGAAGAGAAAGCCTGTATCAAACCCCATGAAATCATAATAAAGAGGTCCGAGCCGGGCGATAAATGCATTTCAGTGGCATATAATGATTGATTCCGTCTGCCGTAGGAGCTTATTCCCTGCAGGCATGTGGCCCCTTGACCAGCCATATATTATTCATATAAATATAGATAGCTGCGCATCTCAGAGGCTGCACACATGCCACATTTGCACCTGCAGATTCAATTTGGCTCTGACTTTGAGGGATACGCCGCCGGCTCCTCTCTCTCTCCTCTCTCTTCCTCCTCCTCCTCCTCCTTCTCACACCTCCCCTCTTTCATTCTGGCTAGCAGCAATACATGGAACATTATGCAGATTTTTTTGTCAAGAGAGTGTGATTTTGTTGAGGGAGAAATGAGTGTTGGAATGTTCGCTACGCCTTTGACCTTATCAGCGGCAGCCCCTAAGCTGGATACCTTGGCTTAATTTTAATGGATGCAGCACGAGGCGAATTAGACAAGGAGACCTAGCTGTGCTCTTTCACAGCAAGGCGCAGTATGCATGCATTATGCGAATGAGCTTTGTTTTTCATGTTCTCGGCGAGGACACTGTCGGCTAAGTTAAACATGCATGCCCGCGTCTGCAAATGCATGCTTCTTTAAATGGATTTGTGTGCATTTCTGGCTGCTGTGTGGGTGCACGAGTGCAGGTGGGCGTGCTATAGCGTTCAATAGTGCAGCATGTGTGTTCTCACTCACTCAGCCCAAGGGCATGTCTTGTCCAGAAAAGGGCGGAAAAAGCAGAGACAGGGTTCCTGTGGTTAATTTGGAACATTGATTTTACATTAACAGTTGGCTCGCTACTGATTCATGGCCGTTCGTGGTTCCTATCCTCTCCCACACACTCACATATACATAAACCTGAAGCTTCATTATGCATACACACCACATAGAAGTTTCCCCTTTAATGGACTCTTCCTTACCTAAGAGAAAGTATAATAGCAAATCAATGAGGTGAAGGGTGGAGGGAGGGACAGTCAAGCCTTCAGGAGGCTTCCACCCTCTAAAGGGCTTACCCAGAATGTCTGCTGAAAGTTGATTGGTTGTGTCACTGCCGCTCTACATGTCCACTGTGATTCTGAGTCCTCAGGAGGTTGAATATTTTCTCTTTATCCTGCTCTCACATGAGAAGAAAAATCAATGTATGAAAGACAAATGCTAAAAAAACAGTATACTATCATAAAGCTTACTTTTGTGAGCCGAGTCAAAATTATCTGGCCAGTTACGCTCCAGTTATATTTCCTGTTAGAAAATTCTGTGGGTAAAGATGTTTTAATTTCTGTCAAGAGGAAAGAAAATTTTTCAATTCATAACAAAATGAAAAATAGGTTGATTTTACTTGTAAATGCATTGGACGGTGGCTGACATAGTAATTTCAATAAGTAAAAACAAGCACAACAAAAACTGATCAGCATTTCAATAGCTGTCTCTACACACAAAAAATGCATCCACAATACTGATAATTCAGTCACTAAGGAAGTAAAATGTTAAGTTATTGATGTGCAAATGCACAAAATAATCAAACAACAACGACAAAAGAAAACGGATAAATAATGATGGCACAGGAGAGTGGGAAGAAGAGCTTTGTGTACGGTGGACAGTGACTCACACAGCGGAATTTAATATGTTCCAGCAGAAGCAACACAAGCAAAAACCAGGACCAAATCACATCTTTTTTGGGGTTAACAAAGTCATTTGGCGTGGTCCAAAATAAACACGCACAGACTCTGTAAATAGGACTGACTGTCTCCTGAGACGATATGCAGATAGTCTAGATTTGGCACAGCAGGGGTGACAAGTATTGAGAATGCAATTAGGCTGACAGCAAACAAGCAGAGAGACAGTGGGAGGCCCACAAAGAGAAGACTGGAACCTTGATATGCAGGAGGAAAAGTCAACCGCTTACTTTCTCTGTCTACTTTCTCTTTCATGGATTTCCAAGGGTTGGAAGAGCATTGAAAAATTCAGGAAGAGAAAAGGACATGGTTTATAAAAGAGATTTATTGGTGGCTCTATTATGAGGAAAGAAAATGAGAGAGAAGAGGTTGAAGGAAGAAAAAGCAGGAAAGAGTGGGGGTGACTAGAAGAAAAAAGCCTTGCGAGGCTTTTTACCAGTGGATCAAAATTCCCACTGAACCATTTCCACGATGCAAAGGCTACTCGCTTGAAAGAGGAGGCAATTCTGCCGCGCCCTACTTTCCACTTACGCCTGACCTTTATGTCTTCCAACCAGTTTTACACCAGCGAGTGTAATGTCTACCTCTCAGCAGATGCAACACTGCCTTGTTACCACTTAAAAGTGTGCAGGTCTCATAATCATCTCCCCAAAGAGCCAATATGCTCTCTGCTGAAACCATACATCCACACTTACTTCACAGCTTGATCTAAATTTGCTTTTTCCATGATGTCTGTAATAACCTCTCATAAATATGCGTTGTAGAACCAGAAACCTGTTACCAATTCCCAGAGGATAACTGAGTTTAACAGGAAAGGCATTCCCACTGAGCATTTTTTTGGTCTAAAAGAGGTCCAATAGTTGTCTGAATGTAGCCTGGTCGAAAATCAGGCTACCACAGGTCTCAAAATGAAGTTTTTAGGCGTCTGAATTTAGACCAAGTTTAGACTAAATCTAAATGTGGGCTGTATCTATACTACACTGTATATTGCACAACGGCTATCATAATTATTTTTGTTAAGTACTTAGAGATCAGTTATGCAACTCACAGTTGCTTTTTGAAATAAATAGTTATTGGTTAAAGTGCAACTGTCTAAATTCTGTCTAAAAATACACAGAATCTAGATGGTTGAAATTAGGTCTAAAAAAAAAACTAGATGTCTAATAGCCGTCGATTGCTCAGTGGGTTTTTACATGAACTGTTTGTCATGTCAAATTGTCATCGCAGAGATGAGCCAAATTTCAACGGTTATGTCTCATATGATCGTCATTATCTGTTGTTGATTTTTTTTTTTGTCGCTGTCTGTCCATCGCCTGGTCTGTCCATCTGTTTGTGCAGTTTCACTGTCCCTCAGTCTAACCCCCTCTCTTGCCTGGCTGTTTACCACAGATGGCTGTCTACCAATAAATCTATCCCTGTCTGTGTTTTTGTCTCCACATGTTCCCTTTCACTTGTCCATATATGTTCTCTCTCTCTCTCTGTCTCTGTCTCTCCCTTTATTGCAGCTATCTTGCGGCAGATGTCTGCCTACAAATGAATCTGGTTTTTCTTGAGTTTTCTACCTGCCAAACCAAAGCTTTTTTTTTTTTTTTTGGTAGATTAATGATGGCTGACATCATTTTCACCTAGATAAGCTCCGTGATGTAAAGCATCATGAAGTAATTTGGTCCTTTTTGATGAGCACAGATTGATGGATTAATAGGTAACCCTGCAGCCACAGAGCTTTCATGATTACAGAACCTGTGACAAAGCAATAACCTTTATGTCCTCTCTCTGCTAAGCCCCATCCAAGCTCTGTGAGGCCAGGTGCAGGATTTATAACTCATTCCAATAAACAGGATAAAACAAATAGCGCTGCCCGCCTGTTTGGCTCCATGGCAGACTTTGAGTCAAGCTAGCCTGAATTAGCACTGCAGAGTCACAGGGACCGATGCTTTCTGCTCCCACTGTGCACACTCATTAATTCAAAGTGGTCATATCTCACTAGTCTCTCATCAAACTGTATTTGCGCCATTACTGTCCAGAACAGCCACAGTGTTAATGTAATGAAGGCAGCCTTGTGGGAAAGTCAGTGTAAAGTGTTGCCAAGATGTGAAAGAAAATGCTTTTCACCTTGACAGTGTCTGAACCTCTTAAATAAAAGCTGCGTTCCAATTTTGGTGCATCATGATCCGTCTGGCTCCTATTCCAGATAAGGGTAAATGATCTGAAGTGTGTGCCAGGGTTGAATGAACGTTTCCGAGAGTTATGCTTGGTTTTACCTGATGACAACAGTAACATGCCAGCGTAAATGAGTGGCATTGAATGAGGAGAAATTCCAGGTTTTTGCAGTACTGTCAGACTAATTAAAAGTGGAATCAGAGACTAAATGGAACAGCCGAGTTCACGAGCCAGATCCTAACAGAGACACAACAGGTTTTCGGCTGGAATATGCCAATAAATATAGACAGATGCGGTGAAGGTGATGCAATAACACTCGTGAAAATTATTCTGAATTAACACCTTGTTGAATACTGTCAACAAATCTAGATTAATTTCATTTGTAGGATAGATCACTTGTAGTGATGAACCCTTTGATAATTATAACACAATTTATGGACCAGGCTGGCACACTGGCAGACTTTTTTTAGCAGGTGTGCTGTACAGGTTTGACATTAGTTTTTTACATCACTGCATTAGCATCATTTTTCTACAACGAAGGCTGCTGCTTGTTGAGTTGAGAATTTATTTATTTTTATTTATTTATTTTTTCATTTATTTAGACAGGACAGTACCAGTTCATGGACAAGGAGAAGAAGACATGATACAAGAAGTCTATTCTCATTGTAAACCAGCCGGAGTTAGCTAAGGCTAATTTTCATCCGTTGTCCTCAAACAGAAAAGCAACAAAAAACAAAACAAAAAACAGGAGGAAATAACAAACAAACAAAACAAACAAACAACAAAAAAATATAAAATAAAAAAACAGACAACAATACAGTAGCAGACGACAAACACGACAAATATAAAAACAGGGGCAGAGTAGACCACTGGTGGAAGGTGCTTAGTGCATAGAAAGTGCCTAGTGCTTCAAAGTACCAAGTGCCATAAAGTGCCTAGTGCCCAGAGAAGCAAAACCTGAGTTCGAAGTAAGAAAAAGGCCGTATTACCATTATACTGGCGAGTGGTCAATCCTGAAAGACTGACAGGTTCATTTTCTTTATGACAACAAAATGACAAACCTGAGAAATGAAATTCAACTTTTTTTAGCCAATGCCATTGATTAAATTAGAAAGATAAGATTTGGAAACTTATAATGCCAACATGAGTATTTGGCCTCAAAAATACCAGTACTTTTTTTTCCAGGCTTTTACAAAAATAATTGCTCCGTTTTCTTCCGCTGGGATTTATAATGTCTTTTAGCTTACAGGGTAGTTTTTGCTGTTCTTCCCAATGAAACAACTCTAAAAACACACTTAGTGCTTCCTGCTCAGCACCACAAGGCAAACACAGATATTTACTGACTAGCTCAAGAGAGCTATTACTGGACTTTGTAGCCATAAACACAAAGCTATGTCGTGTTAATAAATTTTCTCATGTTTGGTTCAGATGGTAACTGTTTTCTGTGTTTTGTTACAGTTTATTACCGGTTTAACAACCAAATATTTCAGACCCAACCATTTTATATTTGGAGTAATCAAAGGACGCTGTTTTTCACACAGCTGGTGCCGCCCTGAAACAAACCAGACACCAGGAGCTTGTTTGCTGTAATGTTCGCAGTCAGGATTAACACCAACGAAAGAGAAAAGCCCATGGGCTACACTGTCAGCCGGCTACTGTAATAGAGGTGCTTTGGAGACCACAGCTTGAATGATTGTCCACCCCCCTTCCACTGACACCTGGGAACTCATGTTAGCTCCATGAGTGAACACTTTAGCCTGACCTATAAAACGCTCCCATTGGCTCCCCAAGCAAATGTCAATGCTTACATCCAATGCGTTAGACATTAGGGCAACCAGAGATCCAATTTCATCTCTGTAGTTTTTAAAACCAGCTGCTGATTGTTTGTCTTTTGGCTTAAGGTTACTAAAGTGTTTTCCTGGCTCATAATACACGCATCCATCTTTGGATTCTATTAGCAACAGCTCTATTAACCACATTTCTCTTTGTCCAACAATCGCACAGCCAGACTCAAGTTATTGCCAGCTGCAGCCAAATTAAACGCAATATGTTTCTAGCTTCAGAGGACCGTGTTTTCTTCCAATCTTTAAGTGGGTTTTGGCTAATTCCTGTGCCTGACACATTTGCCAAGGTTGATATTTCCTGCAATGACAGCATTCTTGGGATCACCAGAGGTTAATACACCACTACACTACAGATACCACGGCGAGTTCCTCCTCTGGCAAGTTACTCTGTCCTCCAGATCTCTCCACTCTCTCTGTTTCACTCCCCCTTCCCTCTCGCTTCACCTCAATTACCAGCAACTGAGCAGTGAATTGTGGGGAAATTAGTTCTACATTGTAGCAGAGGGGTGGGAGGGGGGCTGCAGCCGGGTAGCTTAACTGGACCTCTTACTAATAGGTTGGTACAAGCTGTGTGTGGACTCCATCCCCAAACTAGTCACGGTGCAAGGCCAGGAGTACAAAGACTGTCACTTCACTGGGCTTTAGATAATGCATTGGTACAGCAGCAATTTAAATGTTCAACTACCTGTGGATGATAAGGGTAGTTTACTTTAGATGATGCAGTTTGCTAGAGCATATCTACATGATAGGAAAATAATGAAATGCAGTATCTGTGCTTTTAAAAAGCACAATTTGTCCGTCCAAACAATTTGTCTTAATGGAAGCTGTGCTGTTAAAAGCTTTTCCATTTTGCTGATGCATTAACACATTTTGATTAAGGATAGGCTGACTGTGCTCAGAGGATTTTCCACTCGTCGTTTACATTCATCTTATTCGAAAGCATCTGCTGTCTAAATATTTTCTGTGTTTGTATTTCATAGCCCTTGATTGTCAATACTAGAAACTGTTTTATCATATGACTAAGTCATTGAGTCAACGCTTTTCTACTCAAGACTCCAACAACTTCCACAGCAGACACATTGTCACATGAGATGTCAACCCAAATTTAGACAGCAACCCCTAACCGCTGACTCCAGATCTTTCACTTTAACAGCATTTACTGGGAGCTCAGTTCAGACAATAAATTCAATCCAGGACACCAAATTGCTCAACACATTTCATGGTCGTTTCTTTAACAGGAAAATGTTTGGGGTGTTTAAGATGCTCTGGCTCCCTGAATATATACAGTGATAATTTGCACACATTCAAGACACATTTATATGAAAAAGATGAGAGTAACCCTTAATCTAAAATTCTTCATTGAATATGTTAGTACAATTGTAGTTGATTTACTGTCAAGGCTGGAGCTTAATGTTTAAATAAAAATGTGCTTGTCTGACGTCCATTAAACAACCATATTTTGAAATTATATAAGATGCACAATGGTGCAGCTAGGTCCTTGTTCCTATACTTACTTAAACGCTGCGGGTCACATTGATTGACTTGGCAATATAGAGGAAAAAAAGGACCTGAACGCTGTCAGGCTGTCAATTTGCTCAGCAAAAGCTGAAAAAAAAAAAAAAACTTCTCCATTGATTTAAAAAGAATAAGAGGCCACATGCTTCAAATTCTGGCTTCATCTTGGTGGGAAGAGGAGGATTAACTATCAACCAGAGTGTAATATGCCTGAGTGAAACCACAGAGCTTGAGCACAGCATTGATCAGCATTGCAATCTCCAACAAGCTGATTGGGATTACATCCTGAGAAATGTACCCATTACTGAGTGTACTGCTTTTATAAAAGGAAATAAACATTAAACCAATGGTAAAAACAAAACAAAAAAACAAACAATAAAATAAAATTCTCTGTCGCTTAGTGGATATGACAAATGCATTTAAACAACAAATAAAGCCTTCAGTAGAATGTTTGTTAAAAATGAAGATCAAGTGTATTTTTTTGCATTTTATCCCTGTTTTATGTATGGTTATGCAGCATATGTTAGACAGCTGTTCCATAAAGATGGATTTGTGGAATGTTACTCGGTAATCGAGCCAATAAAAAATAAAAAATACTGTAAAGTCTGATCAGCTGTACAGACTGTAAAGTTGAAACATCAAAGTTGTAGCAGTTAGAGAGTAAAACACACACTACTGACCACAATCAGGCATAAAACAAAGATTTTCATGAAGCAAGTGCTGGATTATCATTAACTGAATTTTATCCTCACTAATTAGCAGGGAATATGTCTGCTGGCCACAGCATCTTGCAAAATGTCCGGTAAAGCCGTCCTAATTCCATCCTAAATTTATGCCAATGTGGGACATCAGACATTAACACTAAAATAAAGACAACAATGAATTCCATCGTGCAATCTGTCTCTCCTACTCTCAGCCACGTCCTTCCAGATTATGTAATGCATGATTCAATATGCTGTGAAAATTGGGCAGCACTGTTTTACATTCGGCACCACGATCCACACCAACACTTCCTGTTGTTACACCGCTGCTTAACAGAAAATATTGATCACAAAGGAAAGCCTTGGCCTACAAATGTCCCCCCTGACACTATTAACTATAATCATTTGTAAAACAAATATTGGACAATAAAGCTTTGCAATAACAATTATCCTGATTACGCTACATGGCTGGCGATTGTGATTACTATAGAATAAAATCAGAGGTGAGGTCCAAACGCTGTAGGCTGAATTACAGACTCTGGCCTGTGTTTCCCGGGCACAGATCAACGGTGTAGCACACAATGAAGAGCCAGTGCTGAGGGAGGGGAGCTAAAGCCTGTTTATCAGAATGCTTGTGGTGTTGCGGCTTATTAAAGTGCCAGGTGCTTTTGAAAAATAATCCCGCTCTCTCCTCTTTCTTTCTCTCCCTCACCCCTCTAAACCAGACTCGAGCCAATGCTGGAGCAGAGGTTGAGGAATGAACCCTTGGCTCAGTTTTGCCAGCGGGGCAAACTGCACCGTTTCTGCTGCCTTCAGAAGTTGTTATTTATTTATTTATTTCTATTATATTATTATTTTTCTCCACATCTCCCCTGTGGCCACTGAGCTGGAGACAGCGCGGTTGATGAAATGAAACCATTTCTCTCCTTTCTTGTTCTCACTTCCCAGCTGCCGTCACACTTATTCTCTTGATTCTTTCCATTTTATCTCCTGTCTCTCACGACTTTTCCCATGATGTGGGGTGTGCTCTTATGGGCCCAAAATATCACAAGCGCCATCAAGCCCATCTGTTCTGTAAGAGGCGGTTACGTACAGCAAATTACATGGTACACTTCAAGTGCAGAGCTTGTGCTTTATAGCAGCGGGCAATAAGGGTGAGAGTTATGTGATGGTTAAAGAGGCACCGCACAAAAAAAGATGTCTGACATTTAAACGATTATTTTCTTTTATTACAAAAAGGGAAATGTAAATTTTAATTACATCATAAAGCAGATGTAATAGCACCTAGCTGAATGAAAGACTAGTTTTGATAGTCAGCCCCTTTATGTTCTAAGGCATCATTGAATGATTAAGTATATACAGGTGTTAAACAGGTTCTTAATTAAGATGCATTGTAGAAATGCTGCTGTTGTCAAGCTTGGGATTACTTGATCAAACAAATAAATGGTAAAATGGACCTCAAAATAAAACTCACCGTTTTTGAGTAGCTTAATTATCTCAAGTCTGGAAATGATGTACCAATAAAACTAACAAGTGACTCTTTTGTTCTTTGTTAACCAAAATTAGGTTTGTGACCTTAATACTAGATAAATCAGGTAGAATTTCTTAACATTTTGCAAGCGATGTATTCAAATTAAGCATTTATATGCTAAAAGATTGCAGCCAGAAATGTTCTGTTTCTGTCTTTTTTGGCATCCCCTGTGGACAAAGTGATATTCCTAATATCTTTGCTTATTTAGCCCTGTATGTTCTGACAAAAATGTCATCCCTCTTTTTTAAGCCACCCAATGAGAACTTTTGCCGAGGAATAAGTTTAACACTAAAAGGCCTCGTCTGACATCCATCCTCTTTGCAGCGGTTGTAACTGTTAAAAATTAGGTTATAAAAACACTCAGTCTTTGTGTTAAGGGTCTTGTTATCTTTTGTGGGTCATAAAAGAGATATCAGTTAATTTTAGTCTGTTTTAAAACCAGTTAAAAATTCCTCACAGAAGCTTTAAATATATGAGTCAATTGCATGTTTAGACTAAAATCCTATTCATTTCTGTTATTATGGATGTGAAAATTACAGCTGCAAATCTGTGAGTGAAAAGGCCAAATGAAAATTATCCATAGCTTTTTATTTCATGCTCATTCAGTACGCTAGGGAGTAATTTTATAGATAGAAGGGGAAATGGGTAAATGAGTAAATGAAGGAAACATTCCTGTTTTTTTTTTGAAGGTGGTGTTTTATTAGTACAACTATGAATATGATATGTGATTTAACTAGACCATTTTCAAGTCTTGGTGTAATTGCATCAAATCTTGATTATGTTTTGGTCTCATGACTGTGGAAAATGTTGCCACTGAGGAAGTGCATGACCTGTTTTTTCGCTAAATGAAATTCTGACATTGTAGATTTGTTGATTGCTCAAGGATGATCTGTTTACACATAAATGCATTTGCATTTTCAAAGGCTGTTATTTCTTGAGCACAAAGGTGTAAACTGCAGATGTCTTGAATATCAGAATGTCAGAGAGTACAGCTTGACTAGTTCTGCATGGTTTGTGTTACTGGCTGCCTATTCATTTACTCGTTGCTATAGTGACTGACATACTCCATTGCCTTTAAACAGGATGCTCTTAGGGCTTACGATTAAACCCCCAGGGTGTTTGCCATTTAAGAGTCTTAATAAAGCCAACTCTTTGAAAAATGAAAGACTCACATTGCTTACACAAGAACTGAAGTCCACATGGTGGGGACACACGCCTAAGTCCCTTGAATTAAGTGTAGAAGGTCAAGCAGGTGTAAATCTGTGATTTTCTGTCTTTGAGGGAGCATGTTTAAATGTCAACAGGCATCACAGTGCATATAACAAATGTCAATATGACCAAATCCCTTTCTTATGGTATTCTCTGATCATCTGGATTTTTACTAAATACTTATACCTCTTCTTTTTGTCTTTTTGTCTTACACAGGTAGGAATGGAGCCAAGTGTGGATTGTGGAAGATAGTCACGACAATCAATGAGGACACCGACCTTTAGAGAAAGACCTGAATATCCATGGAAACCTACGAATCTGCTCAACTCCATCCTCAAATCCTTTGAAGTATAATAATAAGTCCATCTGTTTTTTCTTTTTTCCCCCTCCCTTTTTCTTGGGTCTGTCTGACTGCAGCCTCAGCCACGAACCCTGACACCAACAGGCAACACTGAGTGATTGGTCATTACTTCCAAGGGCGTCTACACAGCAAGACAAAAAAAACCCCAGGGAGCCCTGCTGCAGTTGGTGGCGGTGGTGGCAGGGGCGGTGAGTCAATCGCCTCAGCAGCTGCAGCAAATGATTCATTATTTGCAGAGTTAACAGCTCAGACCACTTAATCTACAAGGACCAATTTCTTACTGGAGGGAATCGGTCCAATATGAAGGACGTGTCATTTGTGGATCGTCTCTTTGTTGGCTTGGCCATGGCCTCTTTTGTTTTGGCCACCGAGGAGAGGTCTGATTGCCCGAAGCTTTGTGTGTGTGAGATTAGACCCTGGTTTTCTCCAAGTTCAGTGTACATGGAGGCACAGACAGTTGACTGTAATGACTTGGGACTCTTTAGCTTGCCGGAAAAATTACCACTGGGCACACAAGTACTGTTACTGCAAACAAACAATGTTGCTAAAATTAACCGACCCCTGGATTACCTGGCCAACATCACAGAGATTGATCTATCCCAAAACAACTTGTCCTCCATCAGTGATGTCCATCTGGGCAATCTTCCCCAGTTGCTTTCTCTTCATATGGAGGAAAATTGGATACGAGAGTTGCCAGAACAATGTCTTGCAGAGATCCCAAACCTTCAGGAGCTTTACATGAACCACAACCTCATCTCCTCAATTTCCCCAACAGCTTTCCAAGGTCTCGGCAACCTTGTACGACTTCACCTCAATTCGAACAAGCTCAAAGATATTAAAAGAGAGTGGTTTGAACCCATGCCAAACCTCGAGATCCTGATGATTGGCGAGAATCCGGTGCTTTCTATTGATGATATGAACTTCAAACCTCTCAGTAATCTCCGCAGCCTTGTGCTTACCAGAATGAATCTGTCCCACCTTCCCGATGATGCACTGACTGGACTTGATAACCTAGAGAGCATCTCCTTCTATGATAACATTTTTTCTGAGGTGCCTCATTCTGCCCTCAAAAATGCTAAAAACCTCAAATTTCTGGATCTTAATAAAAATCCGATAGCGAGAATACAAAGAGGAGACTTTGTGGATATGTTTCATTTGAAAGAACTGGGGATTAACAGCATGCCAGAACTTGTTTCCATCGACAGCTTTGCCCTAAATAACCTCCCTGAGCTGACAAAAATAGAAGCCACCAACAATCCCAAACTCTCCTACATCCATCCTAATGCTTTCTACAAACTACCCCGTCTGGAAACACTAATGCTAAATGGGAATGCGCTCAGTGCTCTCCACAGGATTACTGTCGAGTCCCTCCCAAATCTCAGAGAAGTTAGCATGCATAGTAACCCCATCCGCTGTGACTGTGTAGTCCGCTGGATGAACATGAACAAAACCAACATTCGCTTCATGGAGCCGGATTCACTCTACTGTGTGGAGCCTCCAGAGTACGAGGGCCAGCATGTCCGACAGGTGCACTTCAGGGAGATGATGGAGATTTGTCTGCCACTCATCTCTCCCGAAAGCATGCCTGGGCATATTAAAGCAAAGAACGGGAGCTCAGTGTCTCTCCACTGTCGGGCTTTTGCTGAACCTGAACCAGACATCTACTGGATCACTCCATCTGGTACCAGAGTCCTGCCAAACACCGTATCGGACAAGTTCTACATGCACCCAGAGGGAACTTTTGACATCTATGATATAACAGAAAATGAAGCTGGGCTCTACACTTGTGTGGCCCATAATCTGGTTGGAGCTGATCTGAAATCCGTTTCAGTAGAGGTGAATGGATTCTTTCCCCAGCCTGAAAATGGGTCTTTGAATGTCCTCATTAACACAGTGGAGATAAACTCCATCCTGGTTTCGTGGAAGGCAGGTCCTGGAACCCTGGCCTCCAACATTAAATGGTACACAGTGACAGATGGTAATCATCCCACCACAGCGTTTACCACCAGGGTCCCATCTGACATTCAGGTCTACAACCTAACCCATCTCAGCCCCGCCACCCAATACAAAGTATGTGTGGATGTTCGCAGCATCCACTACAACCATGACACCAAATGTGTCAAAGTCACCACTAAGGGATTAGAGCTGACAGTCAAGGACACGGAAAAATGGGACGCAGCAGTCATCACTGTCTTTGGTGTGCTCTTGGCGGTGGTTTCAGTGGCATGCCTGCTTATTTATGTGTCTCTGAGGAACCACCACCTTTATGGGAATATAAGGAAATGGGATTCCAAAGCCTCGCTAACACCACTGGAAGCTACTGGTGTGAACTCTCCTTTCTTTACAAAGCTGTGGGTTTCGGGTAAGGGACTGCCAAGCGGAGTGGAAGTGAAAGCAACAGTGATAAATGTATCTGACAATGCCTTTTAGAAGCGCAGCTTTGTAGAGCACCTCACAACAACTACACGGAAAGGACAAGGCAATGGGCAGGGGGGTGGACGATGCGTGGTACTGTTTCAAAGGCATACCCATTGCTGGTCCCCCGCTCAGCTACCCTGGCAAAACTATTTAGGGACTGGGATGGAACAGTTAAAAATAGACAACATGCTCTCCCAGTTTCAACCCTTGCTGAAGTGGTGGCTTTGTAATCGCTAACATCAACAGGAAGGGGCATTTACTGCAAAAAGATATATTTCAGTACCATTCATAGAGAAACGCAGGCAGAGGAAAGAAAGCGAAGCTGATGATGATGATGGTCAACTCTCTTGTAATTGACTGTTAAATGTGTTAAGAGTTGTGGAACTGTCTGTGTGGTCCCAAGCAATACCGTCTGTGCTTTGTAAAACCTCCATAGACGAGTTAGAGATACAGTAATAACACCTGTCTATCACGGGAAGGGAGATTTAGTAGAGTAGACAAATAACAGTGACTATGGTGTAAGCCTTTTGATGAAATATACCCCCCTTTTCTATTTAAAAATGGATTCTTGATTTTTCATGGAAATATTGTTATATATTCTATTATGTTGATGTAATGACAAATCCTCTGTGTCTGAACAGTTTAAATGGGTTTTAAATTGAGGCAAGGAGCAGACTACTTTTGATTACAACGTCACATTAAGCTTAATGAAATTCAGCTTCAAAATGAGCATCTAGAGAGGACATTTGCCAAATGGCTGTTTATGCTGTGTAGTTCTCATTGCAATGGTGACTTGGAAACTATGATGTGCTGGACTAAAACTAATTGAACAGGTTGATTAAAGCTGAGGTGATTGATGTGTTGTCTCCTCAAGAAGTGGTCTGTTATGCCCTGGTAAGTGCCTACAACAAGAACTACATGTGGTAAACAGAGAAGAAGAAGAAACACGTCAGCCACAGCAAAACACGGCCATCTCATCATTGCAGAATCACAAGCTCTTCTCTTCTCCAGTACTTTTAGTGGAAATACTTTCTCAGTATTTTTAGCATACATATTTTAAGAAGACATTTCATTGTTGCTTTGGATGTAAAGTTAAAAAGCCATTTTTATATTAACTGTACTATATGTGATCAATGGGCACAACAGACTAATTAAGAAAAGTGCTAAGAAAAAAAATAAATGTCATTGTTTCTTTTACAAAGAATCGGCTACTTTTCTCTTTGACTTTTTTTTCCTGTTAATTGCTGTAACCTTATTCATTCCTCAGTAAAATGCACAGTGTAATTATTCTTTTTTTCCTTTATCTGACCAGGGCGCTACGTGAAATGTTTAAAGACCTATATCTGTGACATTTCCACTGCAAGCATGTACAGCAAAATATTGATAATGACCAAGTGGTAAAGAACAAGAAAATGTCTTTTGAGTCAGACCACAGGGGAAAAGTCAGGAGTCTTCGGCTGAATGGTTGAATGGCCACCCTGACCCAGGGAGGAAGAAAAAAAGCAGCAACAAAAGAACAGAACTCATTAGCCGCCTCATTAAGAACATGTTCGTCCTTCAGCTGGTCTGAATATAGTCACTGTGCTTTAGCTGCAGCTGCTGCTGCTCGAACTCAGGCAGGGACACGGCGTCCCTACAACACAGAGATAAAGTACAGTAGTGAAAAGTTGAAGCAGGTTGGTGCAGCAGTGGACTATTTTATTTGTCTCACTGAATTATCCGGCACAGCGAACATTTCACATGAGAAAGCCAAGCATGATGAATGGCTGTCAGAGGCAGAGTGACACAGTGGATTTATCAAACAGGGCGTTACACTCATACATCAGGCCAGCCTTCAGCACCATGGACAGAGGCTTTTAGAGCGGGGCTATCTGTCAAAGACAAAGGGAGTTAAAATATGACACACTGTGCTTCTCAGGTAATGTTCAGGTCAGGCCCCTTTGGAAATGCATGTACGAACTCACACTTGCATATGAGGCCATATGCCTGCGCTGAAACATATGCAGGTACACGCATGCATGTGAAGTCAAGGCCAATTGCTAACACAGAGAGATTCATTTGTAAAGGACACAGACACCCACACTTACAACACAAACACACACTGAAGCACTACATCAACAAACCTGTCATACCCAGAGGTGTTTTGCCGCTTTAGTCTTCCAGAGTCTGCGGGCTTGAAGAAACACAACATGACAGCCAGAAAAGCCACTAAATGAGATCACCGACCAAACATGTTCTCTGAGATTATAGCAGCTCCTGGATATTAGCCATATTGTGCGCCTTATTTTTTCTTCTTTTTTTTTTCACAGCTCATGACTAGATTACATACTTGACTGAATAAGCTGAATGTTATCCGCAAACTCATCTCTCCTGCTGTCTGTCTCAATCTCACACGTTTCAACAATCTCTTTTTTCTCCCCCACTCCTCCCTCTTGCTGTTGTCACTCTTGCTCCTCTGGTAGGAATGTGGGTTTGCACTGAACTTGTACATTAAAGAAACCCGTATTAGAGAAAAAAAAACCCTCTGGATTGAACTTAAATCCCACATGAAAAGGAGCAGTGAGCTGTCACCCTTTAATCCGCAGCGAGGAAGGAAAAAATTATGTTTCTTGCTGAATCTTCAAATATTTCAAATATTTTAAGCACCTTGTTCTATTAAAAAAAAAGAGAGCCATCTGCTCTGAGGGAGATATTAAAGCACACTCTGCGAAGGCTTATAAATGGGTGCTACTGGTTACATATTCATTTTAATTTTGTAAGGATCATTGTCAGGGAAACTGAAATTCAATGGTGCCCTTTACACGCTCAAGGTGTTAGCTCACATTTATTTTATCCAAAAACAAGACATCATCAAATCATTTGGCTTATTATATCAGATAAATAGAAACAAAACTAAAAACCCTTAATTTTGAAGCCTTTTGAAATAATGCAGAATCACTCTGTTTATTCAAACTGCTGTTGTAGCAAGTGACAATACGCTGCTTTGGAGACTTATTTCCTTGGACACAAAGAAAGACGCTTTCCAAACAGCCCTCATTAGATTTTACAAATAGCTGATATCAACAGAAGTCTTGCTCAGAAAGTAGCCTGATTTCATAGGGAATGTTCTCTTTTTTAGAGCTGCAATAAAAATATTTAATCACCCTTCTATCTGAGATAGTATAAAAAATGTTATAGTACTGCAAGGGCGGCAGAAAACAAACAATGTTCAGGCTGCTGCAGGCACTTTTATATGTTTGAATTATCAGCTTATTAAAGTTACAAACTTCCACGTAGGTCAGGCAGCGTAGCTACAGGCAGCCACACTGCAACAAGGAGTAAAATGTCACCATGCATTTACAATCCGGCACTATGTTTAATGCCACTGCTTGCTTTTAAGAGGCCTTTGTGGCCGGCTATTGCTGAGTTAACTAGATGACCTATGGATTGTAATAACAAAGCACTGATTGCTTTCATGACAGAATAAAAATGGGTTTTCCTCATGGAGTAAGGTTTAGAAAAAATACTCATTATGGACACATTATTGTTCAAGTCAGCTTGTATTTTAATTGAATGTCTTTGCTGCAGTGGTGTAAGGTTTATTTGTTTGCTGTCTGTCTTCTGATATGTCTACGCCACAGCTGATGTTACTCCAGATGACAGGTGACGTTTTCACATACACCATGTCTCACCAGTGATGCACAATTTTCCCCAGCACATCGCTATTCTGAACATGCTTTGCCGTGTATTTCCTGAAAAGTAGAGACAGAGTGTCACAGCAGATTTGGTACAGCTCGTCAAAGCGCAGACCAGTCAAAAGCCATTTGTGTGTGTGTGTGTGTGTGTGTGTGTGTGTGTTTCTGCTCCGTTTGGCCTCTTCCTGTCTCCATTTCCATTCCCATCACTCCTAAGGCATCCCTTACGTGCAGCTAAATAATTACTTGCTTTTTGTTCCCCCCCCTCCTCCGTTTCAGCAATGCACACACATCCACACGGCAAATCCAATAACAGTCAGAAGAACTGTCAGCCAAAGCACAGCCGCTATTAGTGAGTTGCATTTTGTACTAACCCAGTGTGCACTTGATTCATTATTAAAACTTGGATGACATCATTAAAACCTTAGAATATAAAGAATGAAGCCCATTTACTCAATGCGGTTACTCAGGGTTTCTTAATGCAAGTAACCCAACATATCGATGTATTCAGGTTCATAAGTCTTCTGCCTGCTACAGTGAAACCCAACCAGGATTAAATATCACCCCACAGAGGGCTTTTTCGCTAATTGGAAGCCCCGTTCTCAAATAGATGATTGGTTTCCGGGGCTACTGATTGATTGCTGCCTCCCTTTGTCTCACTGCTGTTTCCTTCATGGGGTAGGCATGCAGCCTGTAAATGCCTGAGTCTGATCAATGCAAAGACTAATGAGTTATCCACGTGCATGTGCTCACATTAACGGTGGATTGGGATCGGAAAGAAAAAAAAAAAAAGTGAATAGGGTCTGGTGCGACAAACAGGCTTCCATTAGAGGACATGAAGGAACATCCTTTTCTAAGCAGGTTTTATGAGGCTTTGTCAACCTCATGGCACCTATGCACCATCACTCCCATCAGAATCATTAGTGCTACAAAGGACATCGGTATTCCAGGAAGCACGCATTAATCATCAGCGAACATTAAAGTCTCATTGTAAAATGGTAGAGGAGCCACCTACTATTATAGTCCTTGTATAAGTACCACCTTTTTTTATACTGCGGGCCTGTTCACGTAGAGCCTCACTCAGACCCATCTGTAAAAAGACCTGCTGCAGACTCCATTAAGCAGATGGCAGTGTGAAAAAGAGCCAGGTAATAGTCGTTCATGAAAGTTATAGTAAACCAGTCTCCATGACTGAGACGGTTAGTGCCTCATATTTGCAAAAGCAAATACAAATGCTTATTTACATGTTGGTAATCAAGCACCGGCCAAATGATACAAAATCTGCCCCTGAATGTCTCAGATTTATGAGCAAAAACAGAGAACTTGGGTGTGAAAAATGAGGGAAAAGGATTGTATGCAAGAATGTTCGGAAACAAATTACAAAAACATGAATGTGAAACTACTCCATACAGAAAAATACCTGTTATTTGGTGTTGTATTACTCATCCATTCTGGTGCTATTTTCCTTTGACTTTCTCGTCTTTTTTTCTTACCAGGACTCAGATCTCTGCAACAATAATAGTGCTATAATTTGCTGTTTTTTGGAAGGCAGAAAACCAAATTAAGCAATTTGGTTGCAATAAACGCAACAACAGATTGCAATAGCAACAGCATGAAAGGAAAGCAGAAAGGAAAACAACAATACTGCTCAGACATAGTAGCATTGCAAAAAAAAAAAAAAAAAACGATTTGGTTTTTGGATTGCTGGCACATCCAGACGGTTTTCTTTGTCTGCTGACATTTAAGTGAGCTGGAAACAAACAAATAAGACAACCAAAGGGAGGAAGTATTGATTTGCTGGAAATTTGCTAAATCTTTTGTGGTCAGACATAACTTTAGAGTAAACAAACACGATGTATGACAGGATGGTTGATAAGCTTAATGTTGCTAGTTGCGAGTCCTCTCCAGATTGAACAAACATGTGTTAATGCTACATATCAACAAATTAATCCTCCATTATTGACATCCATCCTACATTACTCTGAATATTGTTGCCGTGGTTACATCTGCTGGGATTTTTTCCTCGGTCAGTTTGCCCTATGATTAGCAATCATTTTATTCAATACAGAGTGTAAACTAAGCTGTCTTCCAACCACTAGGGTATATGGACGTAAATGTCAAACTTTTATGACTTAGGATTTGAAACTGGAACAGTCTTAAAACAATCAAAAACCAAGCCTTTGCCGACTTTTTAAAAGGGGGGGCTTCGAGAGACTCAAAATTAGTCAGATTGCATCATAATGTGTACCCCTCTAAAGTAACACGACAGCATCACCTTCTCATATGCACCCTTTAAAGCTCATCTATATCAATAGGAATAGATGAGCCTGATGCTAAAACTTTGGCACGACTGATCTGAACAAACATGGCATACAGTAAATCAGCTGAAAGCAATCCTGTTTCAGTCTGACCTGGTTCTTCTTTGTGCTCAAGATACAATTCAGCCTAGACAAAAAGTATACAGGTGAAGTGTATGCTGTGCTTCCAAAGGAAAATGAGGGTGAAATGACAGTAAACACTTCAAACATTTCCGGGCCACAATGCAGCAGCCAGGACAAAACCAAGGGGCCACGTTAATCAAGAATAAGGTGAGAAATGAGAGCATCCACACAACTTCATAGGGCAGATTTCAAGCACTCTAAAAACAGACTCAATCCTGCCACGGTTTTGTAGTTCAGAAATACAATGAATTTGAATGATTTCTGTAATCTATAACCCATTCCTAGTGACTGACCTGAGTTTACTTCTTTTTAGGAAGATTCAGGAAATGAAGGCTGAACTGATACTGTTTTGTTTGCATGTTGTATTTACAATATATTGATCTTTTGGAAGTCAGTTTCTTTCCCTCTTTTTAATAATTTCTCCATCAATCCTAATTTTGCTTTAAAATGATAAAAAAGAAATTCAAAACACCACATTTTACAGAACATGTAGGGATAAAAAGGATCAATACAAACTTTTGCACATTTGGACTTCTCATTTAATTTAGTTATTGGTATTCTTCTGCTCATCTTAATCTCTATAAAATGTAAAAAGGGTAGTTATATGAGCTGCACTTGAGCATCAAAGCCTTTTCAAGGCTCCAGAGATTTTGTGTACTGTATGAATGAGGCAGCAAGGAGGTCTGTGGCCTAAATAAAATGGCTCTGTGCGTCTCTCTTTCATCATATCAGGCGGCCTCGTTCTTTGATGTAATGATGGCAGAGTCGGGCGGAGACAGGGGTGGATTTTATTAGATGGGGTCGGGGCTCATGAGGGCCATTGAGCAGAGGAGCACATCAGTGCAGATAAAGTGCTGTACTTCCTTCCCTCATATGCTTCAAATTGCTGTTCATACCTGTGTGCAGGGAGCATATTTATACATGAAAGTTATAGTTTTTTCCTCTTTCCTGTGGAGTAATAATGCCAGAGCAAGTAGGAGATGTCATTGTGTGCGCTTTCTTCCTTGTTTACACCATCTTTTTAAACTTGCTTCCAAAATGAGCTCACAAATTGGCTGCCGTCGACCATCAATCATCCTCCCAGCTCCCCCTGGATGGCGCTCTGTGTGGTTCCCTACACTGTGGCTCTGCGGTAAGGTTACAGAAAACAACCATATTCCTCCAGTTCATTACACGCTTCCCTGGAAACAAGAACAACAATAACCAGCGACCTATGCTTGATCTCCATTATCTTTTTGATAGATCCCCCGTTTTTTCACTTGTTGTTATCTTGCTTGATATTTTCATTTCTTCTCCTCTCTCCAGTGTTTCCTCTCATCTCCCTATAAGACAAATCCACCGGTTAAGATTAGATCGTGTTTTTTATTGATGATAATAGTGTTTTGTATAAATTATCATCTGGATTATTTGCAATTGAAATGAAGGGAGAAGGGTAGTTAACAGTGCGGCAATCTGTTCTCCTCCATAATGTACGCGTCTACAAACGATGTTTCTTCTGACTGAGGGCTGTTCGTCTATGAAATAAAGGAAACTGAGCGACCTATTAAACTGTATTATGTTAATGGTGGGATCAGAAGCAGGCTGTGGAATACCATCACATTCATTACTGTCTAAATAACAAATTATTGTCTCTTGAGAGCATGTTAAAACATTTCTCTCTCACTAGGGAATGAAAGGCCAGCACATAGTTGTGTCAGGCCAACTGCTGTCTGTGAGGAAAAATGTGTGGAGAAGGAGGCAGAAAAATAAATGAAGAAGGCTTGAATCCTTCAGTTTTTGTGCTGTGTGTGTGTGTGTGATGAGCTGAAGGTTTGGGACATTTGCAAGCCTTGTCTCATTTCAATCAAAAGAGAGAGTCATTCTCAGTCCTCTGAAGTGAGTCCAGAAGAACATGGACGATAATGAGTTCCCTGGCACGAGTCTCCCTCAGTCCTGCGAGCCATTAGCCAGACTGGATCCCCGTTCTATGGAATGACTATGTTTGTCTCAATAGCCTCTTGCTTTGGAGCTGGAAGAAACTTCCAGCAGAGTCCTCCTCCCTGCTGGACCTCAAACAAGGGTTGTAAAAATTGAGCAAGTGCTGGTTGGACGTTTGCAGCTCTTGCAGAAGATTAGCGAGGTGAGAAAATGCGAGGAGGGGGAGGTCGTTGAGCCTGATCAGAATCAAAGGAGGACTGAAGTAATGAAAGAGATTTAATCAAAGGAATGGGACGGCTCTCGGAACAAAGAGGTCTTAAGCCTGTAGCAGTCAAGAGACAGATGGAGATAGATAAAACTCAACCAAGGAGACATTACTGTTTGATTCAGGTAGAAACTCAAATGGATGGATCTCTGGATGAGACCTGTCTACAGTTAATACTTATTCTATTTCCAGCTGGCTGGTTATCACAATTCATCAGCGCAAGATAGGCACCACTTTTCAGAGTGCTTTGCACAAATGCTTTAATACATTCATGGAACTATTAGTATGATTTTATGTTAATCTGATGAGTGTGAAGGATTTTTTTTGTGTGTGTTGTCTAATCCCCCAACCAGAAGTAATTTTGCAGAGGGTTGGCTGATACAGATTTTCAGGGCAGATACCAACACAATACAGAGTTATGAGACACAGTCATGCCACATCCAGCCAATCAGACAGTTCTGTGGACAGAACAGAAGGTTAGGCAGAGTGGAGACTGAAATCAGACCCAGAGGCAAAGACAATCAGTAGTGGAGCCAAAGTAGCACATTTTTCAATTAATTAATTTTATAGACCATCAGTGGAATAAACGCCAACACATATCATCCGCCACATGCAGAATATCAGCCCTGATAGTCAGCTGTGAGTGATAATCAGCCTAGCCTGTAATTTTCTGTCTTTATGTGACGGATAACAAGGTTCTTGACTCTTAACTGTGCTAACCTGATACAGATTTTTTGTACTTCAAGAATCTGATTAACTGTAATGAACACTTCTAACAACACTGATCCCATATAGACAGTGGGATTGTCATTTGTCAGCACTCTTTAGGTGTGATTCCTTAAAATGAAACCAAATATAAATGTATTTTTTTTACTGATGGACATGAGCAGAAAATTTTTTAAAAGACTGAGATCATTAGCTGTTCAGTCAGTCAGTGAACGTTGCTGCATGTGTACTTTTCAGTATAAGTACCCATGCATGTCCCCCATTAATCGCTAACTTTCAACACAACAGCCATCCAAAAGGAGGCAGTGAGCAGCTGTAAAGGAAGTCTATAGCTTGATGGCTTTGATCAAATTAAGATTAAAGATGGAATTTAACTGCTTCATGAGGACTGTATAACTTTTATACTTTACAAGTGGATCAGAGTGTAGCAGCATAGAACCTTTCACTTTCTCCCAACAGTCCTTCTTTCCCTCTCTCTTAAATAAAGGCAGGTGTGGGTTGGTTGCTATGGTTACGGGCAAGCTCTCTTACTGAAACTTTCATGAAACCACCTGGTTTATTGAAATGATATTTAAATTCAAACAAGGAAAAACACTTATTCATTGCATGGATAGTGTCAGTATATGCCACAGAAATAAAATCACGTTCTGAAGCATCTCTGGAAACTTTTAACATCATTCCACGTACACACAAAAGAAAATTGATTACTCATAGTGAGTTAATAGGATATGATATTTCATTGCATAAATACATGGGCAGCTCACATGCAGCCTGAAGCTATATTATTGTTGTACTGCTGAGATATTGATTAAAGGAGATGGATATCAAATTAAATGATGTAATCAGATCCCATATAGACAATTTGAGTGGTTAAAATCAGAGACTCATGTCACATAACCTCAAGCTTTGAGCTAAAATTATATAAAATAAAATAAAATAAATAAATAACATTATGGGACAAATGTTTTCTTTGGTCTTTTGGTTAGATATTAAAAAAAAGTCTCTTGCATGCCCAAAGAATATCGTCAGTATTTTTTTCCAAATCACTCATTTTACATTGAAAATAAAAGAATAAGATTGGGAACCTTAACATGCATAATATAATATTATTTGAAGGTCCAGTATATTTTTTGGTATATCATAGCCTAAACAACAAACAGAATCGCACATTTAGCCTCTGAGGCGTGTGTACCCTCCCTGTTTCTAACCTAACCACCCACATAGTGAACAGGGATGACAAGAAACTGTTTGATAGTTTTATAAGGAGTAAGGTGTGGCCCGGTGCAGATAGGTACAGAGTCAGACAGAAACACCCCAAAACATGATGAGTGCTTCAGAGGAACCTGTACCATTGCACTGCCAGTAACATTTGATAGTTTTTCATAGCTTTGAGTTTCCAGGACCCACTGGTGGTGATTTTAGTGGGACCCTAAAAAAATTGTGCCAAAAATGTGCCATAAGTTACAAAAAATGATAACATTTTAAAATAACAGCAATATGTCTCATCTTTTAGTTCCTACTCAGAAACCTGCTGGTTATGGGATATCAGAGGATGCCATCTGGGCATCTCCAGGTGTATGTGCTACTGCCAAGTAAGAAACGGGTATTAATTAAAAAAAACATCGTTTCTGTCCATCAGTTATAGGGGAAATGACATTCACCATGAAACAAAGAAATACATGTTTTTTTTAAATAAGAAAATAAGAACATCCTTTATGCTGTACTATAAGCTTTTTCAAGGGTTTACATTTAGGTTTGAACTTTGCCTATTTTGCCATAAAACAGACTTGCCATGCCATATCATAAACCAGCAGTGTCTCTCTGTTTTCATCTTCTAT